TTAAGACACTGCTACTGGGACGTTGGATATTCACACTAATTTTAAAGTATAGTGCATGTAGCTATGCCGGTGTAAGTACATAATGTCGCCCGTAGAAATTTATATACTGCTGGAATATACTACAGTGTACATGCACATTTTCAGTCTTAATACACTCGTACCTGCAAAGTGTGGCCAAACTTTGTCAGAGGCTGAAGCAAAATCCTTTGCACTCCTAAAACATTAGAATAGATAGATTAGTAGGTAGATAGCCAAAACCTACGCTCACCATATTTGTAGAGTATGGTATAATATTGGCTTATAACCCACGATAGCAAAGCCAATGAGAACTCTCAAATTGCATCATGCAATGATCCAGTTTTTAATGACAAATTGTTTATACATGTACATGTATATGCTGTAGCTATGATAGAAGTACCAAATTGTATACAAGCTGCATATCCTTTGTGAGATAAAATTGTACCAAAATGAAAGTGATTAGTCACAGAATCTGTTTTTCTCACATAATTATTTCTAGTAAGTAATTTTAGCTGGGATATGAAATGCACTGCAGCTGCTATATTTTAAATAAGCTGACAGTAAAATTCTCTATAGATTGTGAATTTATTTCAATTACAGTACATGTAACAGTATCCATGTGTTTCCATGTGTACACTTCTAGCCGTGATAATGCTGTACAGTGCACAGTCTGCAGTCCGTCTATTACAGTAATCATCTTACATAGCATGCACATGAACATGTTTGGCGTGTGTGTAATAATTACAAATTATGTGATGTTGAAGACAATTTAAGAGACATCAGCATCCCATTCTGTCATGTACATGACTGTGCTAAAATATTTTGTGTACATTTTAGCAGTGACAATATTCACTTAGAAAGTTTTGATTACGAATATAAATCAGGGATAATAATTTCAAATGACGTTTCAATGACTCGTTCATCATTTTCAAATTCTAAAAGTCAGATTCCTATAAGTTCTTTATATATTGAGAATGCATGTAAAGTCTCGTTGCATGTGATTAAAAGCTCTACAATGTGGAATGCATGCAACAAGACTTTCACACACATTCTCAATGTATAAAGAACTTATAGGAATCTAACGTTCAGAATTTGAAAATGATGAACAAATCATCAAAATGTCATTTCGAAATTATTATCACTGATTTTTATTCTTAATTGTTCGTCGAAAGCCTCTGTTATTAAAGATTTGAGTCAAAGGAAATCTATTCAGTCAATAAATGCATACATAGTTTACCTTCCTTCACTATCAGGTAGTTCTGGTTGTGCATTTCTCTCCAAAAGAAGCATCACAATCTACATAATTGAGTCACAAAATCAGTGAAACCTTGTTTATGGAAATTGCTGGCCATACATGTTCATGCTAAACTACAGTGTACACGTACGTAGTATGCAATTTGGGATTCAAGTTCTGTTTATAAAATTAAAAGGATGATCATACGTAGATCTTTTCTTGACTACTCTTTCATAATTGTATTTATTATTTTTTTAATGTCAGTAATTAGTAATACTTTTAATTATTAGAGTTTATTTACAATTGTAATTCAGTCAGAGATAATTGTGACCTAAAGAGTATTAACTTGTTACACAATAATTAATTGGCAACCCTCTCTAAGGGATAGGTTGCCAGTGAGAGGAGCTGCCTTTGGAAAAACACATACAGCTGTACATGACTGTATACAACTGTATCTAGACAATTGTACACCTTAGAAACTTTTGAAACAGAATCATCTGTGATGACCCTGGGGGAATTTAAACCTATAGACGTTATGCATCTATAGATCTTACAAGATCCTTTGTAGACATTCTAAATATCATTTTGCAAAGATCCTTTAATAAAAGGTCTTGTATAATCTAGTTAAGATCTTTGCAAGGATCTTGAACCATGATCTTCAGAGAACTTTAGCTGGCAAGATCTTTGATCTAAATCTTTGAAGTTAAGATCTCTGGAGATCATGGTCGATGGAGGATCTTTGTCAAGATTTTTGATGATTGTGGCAATGATTATCATGAAGATTGTTAGAGATCTACATGTACATGTATCCTTAAAGATCTTGCAAGGATATTTGAGGATCTTTCAAGACCAAGGTCCTTGATAATATCCCTGAGACAATATGTTCTTGATAACTTTATGACATATATCAAGGATTCTTGAGGACTGTTGATCGATTTTCACCATTGGAAGTCCCAGTGTCTCATATTTATATATTTCTCTGTGATGCATTAATTTATTGGTCGTAGTCTCAGATTTTTAATCTTGTATTATGTAAGAACCTCAGTGTGTTAACAAGTCTCAGATTGTACCATTCATCATCCCAAATGTTGCTCAGTTAATTGCAAAATCAAATGCAGGCCTGTGTTAAGTTTACAAGCTCTTTGAGCAGAGTTCGCACCACTGTTCACTAATACTGATTGAAAGAGCTTTGACAATAATATAGCATGTATGTACTTGTAATTAAACTATAAATAATTATTTATCATACTTTTCCATGCTCCTGAAATGTTGCAGCATGCAGTGGTGTCCAGAGAGTATCTTTGTTCTGTGCATTGATGTCTAAAAAGATAGGAAAAAAGGAATCAACACAAATTAAGGTATGCGCACACGTACATGCGTCTCTGGAGCCAGTAAAGGACTATCCTGTGCACTTGGGTATCATACTCACATCATTGGGGTGTCCATGTACAGCTAAGAATAATCACAAAACATTGTTTTACTAGAACCCAGAATTTCTTTAGAACCTTATCCTTGGTTCAATATCGTGCAATTCCTTTTTTTGTTGTTGTTTATAGCAAATTGCATTCAGGTGATACCCAAGTGTGAAACAAACAAAACGTTGAATTTGAACCAAGGATACATTTGTGCTACAAATATATATCTTTAGAAAGACACACTGTCGAAAAGGGCACCACTGCTTATTGACAAAAAAATAGACATGAGGTATTTCCATTTTTGGCAAAAGATCTCCCACAAAATTATAGCCTTTGACGTACTTGTAACGTACAATCAGGTAAATACATGTATACATGGATGAATTTTTGATAGGCAAAATTGACAGAGAAATTGCAAAGTAACCAATGGGAATATTCATTTGATAAAGCCTCCTACAGTTTTGCAGAATGGCTCTTGTCATTGATATAAAATGTACACACTGCAGTGCAGTACTTGCTTGTGTAGTTGAGTTTGATATCTGCTAAATTAGCTGGAAACAACACAAGACATTTTGGGTTTCTAGCTAGGCCACTGTGCCTGCCTTCTTACCTGTGGTTAGATATGACTGGAGCGAAATAGTTTTTATCTTTAAGCTTTAATAATAATTAAAAAGCTTTGCATTGGTGTATGATTTGTTATCAGGTTGGCTTTAAAACAGATCATTGACACTACTTTGATAATAATTTAATAATCCTCAAAAAAATGATATAGTGATTATGATTATGATTATGATTATGACACAAGTAATGTAGTTTTAAAGCTGAGACTAATTTGATAGCTTGATGTCAAATGTACATTTAAGAATAACTCTGCCAGTTTAGCTGTTCAGTACAGTTAACAGTACCATACCTGCCCCTTTGTCCAGAAGAGTTTTCACTACATCATGAAAGCCCCAGAAACATGCTAGAAACAATGAAAACAGGTACATATATAACACTAAATTCAGTCATCATAGACAAAGAGTACATGACTTGTATAACATTCATTTAATTCATTCCCTTATGACTTGGACACAATTGAAGTTTATAGTGGGTATTAAGGAGTGAGTGTACAGTATTATATATACAATGTAGCTGTAGAAGTAATATGGCAAGTCAATTTCATAGCTTAACTAAAGATGAATCACCCCAAGGAGGTGTATTCCAACACTTTTCAAGCCTGGGGATGAAAATACAGCAATAAAAACACTAAAAGTTTTAGCGCCTGAGGGTTTTGGCCAGGAATAAGATAATGAATGAATGAAAATATCCCAGTTGACCAACAATTTTTGGTATATCATAATATAGAGGAAGCAAAGCTGAATAATAGTCACCAATGAGCCTTGATCTCTCCTGTCCTCCAATTACATTGTTAGACATAACTAGGATGGAGGCTAACCCTACTGAAAACCATCCAATGCCCATTTCATTTAATTCCCTAAGAATCAGCTCATTTGGCCTCGATCGAGATTAGAATGAGGTAAATACATTATTTGAACAACCTGTCCTGAACTTAAATACTCTGAGCTTACATAACTGTAAATATATTTGTATTGAGAAATAAAGATGTTGCTATTGTTGTTGTTGTTGTTG